TAACTTCACATCCATAAATTAAACTGTTGAATCTCCCAAGAACAATTAGCTTAATTTACCCTATAAAATATTGAAAAAATAAATATAAAGTCATCTCCTTTAGTAATAATACGATTGATGTTTAAAGACTTTGCAAGGAAGGAGCCTGTTTCGAAGTGTGATAGCCTTAGCCAAGAAAGGGGAGCAAGAACCTAAAAAGTACTCTTTCCGTCCCCAAAAATTCGACCTTTTTGGCCTAAAATGATCGACATATTTTCATTAAAATACCCGCTAATTTACAACTATATTTGTGCAAAATTAGCTTCCTATATAAAATTTTGTTGAGCTATAAAAAAAAATATATATAAAATTTTGTTTTTTTATTTATTTTTTATACTTTATCTCTCTATTTTTTTTTTTACAAACCTCATGTAAATTTATCTTTTTAACATATTTTTACTTTTTTTTTTTTATTTAACTTTCTTAATACCTGTAAAATCAACCCAAAAGGGTCGTTCTTTTGGAGACGGAGGGAGTAAGATTTATTAGCTCTAAGCAATTCATTATGATCATTGATGAATAATCCTGCGGAATCGGAATGGTAAACAACTATACTGTCAAAATTGAGTTTCAAAACTCCAGGCACTCAAGCAGGGGATCGAGATCCCATTTATTTTACGCATATTGGATCCTCGGATATTGTTGGTGTAATTGTCTTGAATGGAATATCAATGTGCATATAAGATTGCCACTCTGTAAAAATTGAAAAAGCTTTCTAGCCTGGAAAGCAACTGCGTGAAAAAAATGATTTCTACTTAAACACAAGACTATATACATATAATAATATATCTAGTTTGTAACCAAGTTTTTACCAAATTCATATCCTAGATTTGCTTTGCATGAATACAACATAAGAGTAAATGATCTTGATCTTCTATCATATTGTTACAAAGAGGAAAAAGAGGGCTGCCCAGTTAATCTTCCTTCATGATTAACGTTCTTTGTCAATCTTCGCAGCCATGTCAGCTTGCTGGGTTTGAGGTAGTCCAGTCAGCAACACAGTCAGCATCCTTGTCAACCCAGCTGGCAGAAGATGTTAACGGCTCCTTTACTTGGTTTGTCATTAGTTGCATTAATTGTTGGTAGGTGGTATTATATTGACCTTGCAAATATAAGGCTTTGACTCATATTTCTTCCCAACCAAGCAACATTTTTACAAAAATTCATCAACAAAAAACTTGAGTGATCGATTGAGAAAGGAAAGATGCTGAGGAAAATCATCTACAGTCCGAACTAATGGTGCAATCGTTTAAATTCATCCTCAAAGTTATGATTTAAATTTGTATTTTTAAAAAGGTATTTTTGATTGCATGTAATATGAATAAAAAAAAACTATACTAAATGATTATTTGAATTATTTTGTAATCAATTATAATTAAAATGAAGGAAATTTTGTGAAAAACTACCTATTATAGTCTAGAATTTGCGAGAAACTACCTATTAAAAAAAAGTTGTAATTGACTACCTAATTTTCGAAAAATGTTGTCATTTACTACCTTACGCCGGATTATGAAGGACTTTGACCAAAGTTCTCTGGTGTTGACTTGGTCACGTGACCATCACGTGACACTTAATGACCCTTTTCTTTCACCAAGTGTCACGTGACCAAGTCAACGCCGGAGAATTTTGGTCAAACTCCTTCATAATCCGGCGTAAAGGTAGTAAATTACAGCATTTTTAAAAAATTAGGTAGTCAATTACAACATTTTTTTAATAGGTAGTTTCTCGCAAATTCTGGATTATAATAGGTAGTTTTTCACAAAATTTCCTAAAATGAACAATATTGAGAAATTGAGATCGATGAAGTTTGTTATATGTGATACAATGGTCATTTATTTTATTGTGGGAAAATGAAGCTAAATTAGATAGAAAATAGATGTGAATGACTTGATTCTCATTGATGCCTTCAACACCAATATATAAAATACAAGGTAACCCTAATATGATGGGATTAGAAAATTAGGAAAATAAGGAAAAATTATCAAAAAGATATTAACTAGCCTTAAAATATTCTAACAAAATATTTCCTCATATATCCCCTCCAATAGAAAACAATTCCGACTAAATTTATTTAAATGGGATTAAAAATAATCACAAAAATGGTATATGTAATAGCCCAGATGAAATAATTTCCAGTTAAATTAATAGTTTGTTGAATTTTAACATTAATTATTGTTAATAATTTGTACACATATATGATTGATTTGGTGTTACATAAATTCTTAAACGAACCTAGTTCACACTAATTTATTGTGGACCACTAATATAAGAGAAACTATAGTTGTTTTATTAATAATAAAAAAAAGGTCACTATATTAAAAATAAGGTCACTATATTGAAATAAAAGTCATTTTGGAAATATATAGGATATAAGAGATTAATTTTTTTAATGAAATATTTTATATATTGGTCAACATAAATAATAAAGGTCACTATGTTAAAATTAGAGTCATAACGTCATATTCAAGTTCACAAAAATATTAAACGCTATACAAGTTTTGATAAAGGTTACTATGTTAAAAATAAGGTTACTATGTTAAAAATAAGGGTCACTATATTCTATATAATGTCAGTTGCGGGTGCATAAACCTCGGTTGCACAATAAAATTATTGTGGACCAGGTCCATATAAGAGTATTTCTTGGTGTTATTATAGCTAAGAATTGGTTAATTTGTTTAAGCAAAAGGGATTATATACTTTCAAATTATTAAATATATATTGCTTGATCTTTTATTGTATTCTGCTTTAATTTATATTACTTTGAACCTTGGTGTAATTTAAGTTCTGTTGGTTTGGTCCAATTTGGCAATTGCCAGCTAAATTTCAAAAATACAACCTGTTATATTTACCCCCTTTTATCTCCTCATTAATTTTTCTAAAGTAAAGTGATGAAAATTATAACTTCACATCTAATAATCAATCAAACATCATTATCTTCTTTCCAATTCTAAATTTTAGAAACGGGTGTTAAAATAAAAACAAATATGAGACAAATTTTTTTTTTTTAAAAAAAAGGTGGGGATCAAACTCTTGACCTCTGCGCTTGGTAGGGGGTTGAGATATGTGTAGTTTGGAAACCATTTGGGACAATCATCGACCGTGTTATAATGTTACAAAAAAATTATTTATGTACATTCCACTCGAAATACATACGACTATATTTTATGATTTTTTTTAAAACCACATAAGACTATATTTTTATTTTTGTATACCTGAAAAAAATAAAATTTAAAGGAAAAAATGCAAAATTCCTAAACTAATTTCATAAAAGCGAATTAAATTTTTTTTTAAAAAAACCAGTGGTAGGGGGTTGAGATATGTGTAGTTTGGAAACCATTTGGGACAATCATCGACCGTGTTATAATGTTACAAAAGAATTATTTATGCACATTCCACTCGAAATACATACGACTATATTTTATGATTTTTTTTTAAAACCACATAAGACTATATTTTTATTTTTGTATACCTGAAAAAAAATAAAATTTAAAGGAAAAAATGCAAAATTCCTAAACTAATTTCATAAAAGCGAATTAAATTTTTTTAAAAAAAAACCAGTGGGGGGGGATCGAACTCTTGACCTCTGCGCTTGATAGGGGGTTGAGATATGTGTAGTATGGGAACCATTTGGGACAGTCATCGACCGTGTTATAATGTTACAAAAAAAAATTATTTATATACATTTCACTTGAAATACATACGACTATATTTTATGATTTTTTCATAAAAGAATTACATAAAAACAGCAAAAAAAGCAAAATTCCAAAACTAATTTCATAAAAGTGAATAAAAAAAACATGTGGGGGGTATCATCTATAGTGCTGATTTCATGTTAAAAGTGAATAAAAATGCAAAATTCCAAAACTATATTTTTATTTTTGTATTTTTGATCAATTATAACTGATACCGTGAGTATTATCTATAGTGTTGTTTTCATGTTAGTTCATAATTATCAAAATTAACCTCAAATTAGCAAAAAAAAAATAAAAAAAAAAAAAGCAAATGTCTCATATGCGTGTCAAAAAATATCTCGATTTGCGTGCCCTTTGCTTTTTTGTGATAGTAACCGCTCGGTTAAGGTTTTAGGGGTCATTTTGACCTTTTATGGATCTAACTCGAAATTTTCAATAAATTAATGAAAATGTCTCGTTTTACGTGTTATCTAAATTAACCTCATTTATGGTTATTTTCTTTCAATTATAATTGATACTGTGAGTATCATCCATAGTGCTACTTTCATGTTAGTTCATAATTATCCAAATTAACCTCAAAGTAGGAAAAAAAAAAAACAAATTAGCACAAATGTCTCATATGAGTGTAAAAAAATGTCTCATAAGCGTGTCAAAAAATGTCTCTATTTTCAGGGTTTTGCATATATACAAATAGTTTGAATGTTTAATTGGTATGTTTGGTTAGCATTGACTTATTTTTTAAATATGGTCTAATACCTTTGAAACATTTCGAGCAGGTGTATGAATTGGTAGTAAGGAGTTGATTTAAAGATGGGTGATAGTATGGATGATGGAAGTGAATGTAGGGATGTTCATCACACTGTTATTGATCTTAACCGTGATGATGATGACCAACTTTATGATGAATATATGTCTCCCATCAACACAAACAACACATTAGAAGAAGGACGTGAATATGACGATGAGCATGACATTGTTAGTGAAGATGGGTTAGGGGACCGTAACGGTGATCAATTTATGTCTCCCATCAACACAATTGAGACATTACAGACAGTTGTTGGTAGTAACGACGTGAGTATGGTGAATTCTGTTGAACCTCCTAAGGTTGGAATGATTTTTAAGAGTTGGCAAGATGTCGAGTCATAGTATAAAGAATATGCCGAGCAGTAGGGATTTGGGGTGACTAGGGCACAAGGTGTGTATTAGAAAGGTGATGGGAGAGACCGTATTACAACTACATGGAGGTTTGAATGCTGGGGAAGACCAGACATGAGAGCAATAAGGGATGCCAAGAAGAGGGCAAAGGCTATGGATGTATCTGGTTCAGGTGGAGTAGTTGGGGGTCGTGTGTGTGTGGATGAGTTAAACAAATGTAAGCGAAAATCTAAAAAATGTGAGTGTCCAGCAAAGGTATATGCTAGTCTTAATCGTGATGGGGAGTGGGAGATAAAGAAGGTGCATTTGGGACATACGCACAACCCTACACCACGTAAGGCAAAGCTTGTTAAGGAGTATAGAATAAAGAGCATAACATCGAAGGTTAAGAGGAGGTTGATAGACTTTTTCGAAGAAGGTGTGCCCATTTCACAAATTCATGGCTGCTTTGCAACTGAAGTAAAAGGGCTAGATAACCTCCAATTTACTATAAAAGATTTGTCGCATGTCGTATACAAGGAAAGAAGGTTGAAAATGGTTGGGGGTGATGCAGCAGCATTGATGAGTTACTTTAGAAAAATGCAACAAGGGGCAACAACAATTTTTTTTCATTCTGAACGCTTAGACCCAGAGGGCCGGTTGAAAGATGTTATTTGGGTTGATGGGCGTAGTCGGGCCGCATATGAAGAATTTGGTGATGTTGTATGCTTCGATGCTACTTATTTGACAAATGAGTATGAGTTACCATTTGTTAATTTTGTTGGCGTAAACCACCATGGAAAAACTATACTATTGGGATGTGCACTGGTTTCCCATGAGAATTGTGATACATTTAGATGGATATTTGAAAAGTGGTTGTTATGCATGAACAACCAAGCTCCGGGTGCAATTCTGACTGACCAGGCTGCGGCCATAAGGAAGCCCTTAGAGGAGGTTATGCCTTTGACGCGACATAGATGGTGCATTTGGCACATTATGAGGAAAATTCCAGATAAATTAGGGAAATGTCAAAGGTTTGTATTTATATTCTGTTACTCTGTAGTTACCATTTGATTTGACTAGATATTAAAGTATTGGTAAAAGTTATCTTTTTTTTAGGATTATTGATTTGTATAAAAAATTTGTCGCCAATCATGGAATTATTTGTATAATTTCACCGGGAGGGTCTTGAGTACATAAGCTTATGTTGATTACATGAATGAATGTGGGCAATGGTCTTGATTGCGTCCAATTTTATGTTAAGATATGATCGATTTCCTATTATTTGAATAGTTGGCATAAGATAGGAAACTATAAATATTTGACTTAAATGATTGTATATGATTGAGCTTACATGAGCTATAATTTACCTCTTACTTGTTAGATAAATTATAAATTAGTTTGTGGAATAATTCATCTATGCTCTGTGAATATGTTCAGGTACAAAGATTTCAAGGGAGTTTTGAAGGCGACAGTATATGAAAGTTTGACTATTAGTGAGTTCGAGACAAGGTAGGCTTCGCTAATAACTGAATTTTAATTGGAAAAAAAAATGATTGGTTGTCTGGCCTATAGGAGAAGCGACATATGTGGGTTCCGCCATTCATGAGGGACTACTTTTGGGCTAGGATGAACACAACTCAGCGGGTTGAGAGTATAAACATTTTCTTTGACGGTTATGTGAATCGAAAAACCAAACTATTTGAATTTCCTCTAAAGTATGCGAAGGCCATGGATAAGCGTGTGAGAGACGAGACAGCTGCTGATGCAAATCGTGCAAAATATGTAAGGAGGATAGTAACTGGTTTCACTGTTGAGAAGTTTTTTTCAAACTAAGTACGCAGACAACAAGTTTCAAGAGGTGCAAACGGAATGTACTCGAATGATGTATTGTAACTATAAAGAGAATCAAATGTTGGATGAAAATACACTTGAGTATGCAGTTGAAGACCGTCTTTGAATTGTTCCTGAAGGACAGAGTGAAGAAGTCTTAACCAGTCGAAGAAGGTATATGACAGCAACATTTATCAAGGTGACCAAAGAGGTCGACTATCAATGCCATAAATTTGTAACAAATGGAATCATGTGCAACCATATGATGCAAATACTAGAGCACAATCGTGTGATTGATATACCAGACATATATGTTGTTAGTCGATGGCGCAAGGATATTTTTAGGAAACACACTCGAGTCGGGGTTTCATACCATGACCCAAATAAATCTGCCGCTGTAAAAAGGTACAATAAGTTGATGGCTGAGTTCGAAGAGTTATGTGACGAAGCAGCTATGGTGAATGATGATGCTATAGACATTGCCAGAAATGCTATGTCAGATCTGAATTGAAATTGAACAATGCAGGCTTAGGAAATCAGCAGAGAGTATTTCCATGTCATTTCCCGATGAATCTGGCTTAAGAAGGCAAAGCACAAATCAGACACAGGAGAATACAACTGATCTTGATATGGATAATGCAGATTTGTTTCCTCCTAGTGATGTGACAGTGGAAGATCCCATATTAAACAAAAACCTCGTGGTAGGCCAAAGGGGTCTAGAAATAAAACTCTCGCAGAGATGGGTTTCAAGAAACCAGGTAACAATAAGAAGAGTGCAGCAACTGAAAGCAGTGACAAAGTCAAAGAGGGTACAACAAAGAATAAAATCAAAGGGAAGGTGACTAATGAATTAGTGGTCAAAGGGAAGAAATATGGTAGTAAGGATCAATAATGTCAAGTGAAGAAAATTAACACTACCAAAGGGACTACCAAGTGTATGCTCAAAGGAAAGTCAACAGTCAAAGACAAGAATAACACTAACAAAGGGTTTGCCAAGTGTAAGCTGACAGGGAAGTCAACAGTCAAAGACAAGGATAAAAGAGTCAAGGTAATAACAATAAACAATTTATAATTATAGTTTAAAATTATTAATAAATTAATCCATATATTTATGTTACCGTTAACATTGATTTTTGAATTGTAGGTGCATAAGGTTAAATTGCTTGAGTATTTGGTGCCATTAGTAGATCTTACAAAAAAGGTAAAGACAAGAAAAAAAAAATATGGGTTACGATTACGACGTTAAGTAAAAGCCATACGTTTTTTTTTCTTTTTTCTTTTTTTTTTTAAAACCAAAAACAATACGTTTAATGTAACTAACTTCCTACCATTTTTTTTCTATAAAATAAGCGTAAGGGGACTAAAGAGATGAACATTGGTCGTCCTTCAAGTGATGGAGCTAAGAAAAGGCGCACTTAAATTTAAATAATTTGTTGATTGTATGGATCGACTTTTAAATATTATAACTTCCACTTTATCGCAATTTTATTTTGGTTGTATGTCTATGTAATACCATCAGACTTATGGATTTGGATTTGGTATGCTTTGCTTAATATCAGACTTTGGTATGCTTTGCTTAATATCAGGCTTATGGATTTGGATTTGGTATGCTTTGCTTAATATTTTAATAAGTATGTTGAGACTGAAAATAAACACAATAAAAATTGTATGTTTTATAATAATAACTTAATAAAAACCTAAAAATTAGATCAACCAATACTTTAAGATCTTTCTTAAATAAAAAAAATATTGACAGTAAATTAAACAATCTAATGTGATTACCTCTTGCAAAGGTCAAGTAGTTGTTTAGACATTTCATAAATAAATATTTTAGTTTTACTTTTTTTTAGTGGTCAGGTACGTTTTTCAATTTCAAGTACTAGTACATGGTTAATATCACCGGTATTTAATATAAAATTTACTTTTGATCTCTTAGTGACCGAATTTGATTATTCAATCGGTTATAACTTGTTTGTGATTCAATTTGTTTTAGTGTTTTACCCCTATTATTTATTTATTTTGACGGAAAAGTTTTTAACCTTGCTTGGCCATTTTATGTTCGAGGCCTTCACCCAGTGTGGAAGGATACAATAGTTGAGCTTTAAAAAAATTACTGGGATCAAGCCCATAATACGAAAAGCCTTATAGCAGATACATTCCACTAAGGCATTAAAGGAATTAACACCATATAAGTCATATCTTTGTCTACATAGCAAAATATTAGCTACTCACATATATAACTGCTACACATGCTTTTTAAAAGTACGACCTTAATCACCAAAAAAATGTGCAACGTTCATGGCACAGCCATAACCAACCCCACAGTATCACATCAAAGACTCCTGCTGAATATACTTACAAATTGATTTTGAAGCACCATGATCATCCATTCAAGTAAATATGAGGCTGAAAAATGGTGGTTCCATATATATTAGCTCAATGATAGCTTTCTCATTCTCTTCGACATTCTCACCATCAATAAATTTTTGTACTCCTTTCTTTATACTGCAAGAGACAATTTTCTTTTTTGGATTGTACTTTATGTTCATAGTTGCTTGATATGTCTTACTGCCACACAACGTAACTTCGGCGGACTCTCCAATATCCTTAAAATGTTCTCTTGCGAAGGCCAATGGAATGTTTTACACCAAAAAATTAGAAAGAATAAAAACCCACATCATCAATCCGAAGGAGGGTACTGGTGTAACATGATAAATCTTAAATTTACAAGTGCCTCTTAATAAACTTCAACTTACAATAGTGGGTTTGAAGATGTAGCTTGGTATGAACTGGAATCTGAAGGAGAGCATCGGTTCTATAATGTACTGTCTGAGTGCATGAGCCTCATCACCTGTTATGTCGATGTCATTCCGCCATATCCTTACACGATAAGACAATTCCCCCATGTCATACCATTCGAACACAATGAAATCTTCCATTTGCAAGTTGTTCGAGTGCACAAACTCGCTCTATCCATAACTCAAATAGGTTTCTTTAGTCCCATCAGCCCATACAAAATTCTTCAGATTCACCTTGTATGATTTTTTTCTCATTTCCACGTCGAAGAATTAGCACAACCTCCCCCGGTCCTTCACCCAAGTGTTCCACAACTCCTCCACCTCGCGAGTCATTCTGTTTAGAAGAGGCTAAGGACAATAGATTTAAAACAATTACAATGGTTATTAGATTAACATCATATATAAGTCTTGCGATGAAGGGGGTTATATTATATTACTCACCACATTTCGTAATCGTCTATGAGTATCGAGTGTGAATTCAAATCGTGCAGCCGACATTACACTCGCCGGGACAGGGGTAGCGCAACGTATACTAAGTTAAAAAATGAGCCGAGACAATTTAATTAATACAAAATAAAATTTAAAAAGTACATAGAATGTATGTTATTACATTAAAACACAAGTACTTAAAAAAGATTTACAGATGTTCACAACATCGATTCACAATTGCATCAAGACTTACATTCAAGAACAAATCTTTTTCCAAATAAGTAACTAAAGTGTCATTTAACAAACCATCTCCCATGCTATTTGGTGGATTTTGATGAAATAAAGGGCCAAAGGGGGATTTTCATAATTTGGTGGGTTTTGATGGTTGGAAGGATGGTTATACTTCTTTCTTGGGATCTCTTCATTGAATTAGATTTCTGAAATTTGTAGCATTATTATGTTTTATCAGAACATGTATCATTATTATCATATTTGCAAGTTCAATCATCATTACAACTTCAATTGAATTAATAAAAAAATAAAACTTCAACTAGGCAGTAAGGCAGTAGGCAATTAGAACATATAATTCATCAACATAACAATTAACAAATTAAATTCATAAAATCATAAATCAGCAAGTTAAATTCATCAACAATTCAACGTAGCAAATTTGGTCAATTCAATTATTATATAAACAGGCAAATAACAACATTATACTTGATTAATTCAAATCATCAATAGTTCAATTAAATTAATCAATTCAATTATTCAATATTTCAATTCATAATTTCATACTCAAATTCTGACCAACAAAAAATAGAACCTTATTAAAACATTCAAACAAAAGAGAAAGGAAAGAAGGGAACCTTAATTGGAGCCTTGGAGGAGCTGGAGGCCGAGAACGGTGAGCACCCCTGAACACCGTCACTCCGTCAGGTCGACGAGAAGAACTCGAGAAGAACTTGGGTCGTGAGACTTGTGACTCGTTGACTGAGCATTGAGCGGGGAACTTGAGGAGTAGAGAACTTGAGAAGAGGAACTTCAAGTCTTCAACAAAACACAAAGGAGAATAGGAGATGACCATCCATCGCCGGTCGCCGAGTACAATAGGAGGTCGGAGGAAGGAGAAAGGGGCGAAGAGGGGTTTTAGGGTTGTATTTCGTGAAGAAAGAAAAAGCAGATTGCCGTTGAATTTTAAATTGAAAGATATGGTATATACTATATAGTCACATTAATATAAAAATGTTAGTTATATTCCACTATCACATAAATATGTAATAAATTTGTTATTTACCATGTTTCAATTCATAAGCTGATATGCACTAAACCTCACTGCCATAACATTTTGGTACAAATTTTTTTAGTATCATATTGATAGCATTATCATATAATTGACAAATTTTTAACATAAATTTTGGTAAATCGTTAATATTCCACTATCACATTTATAGACCATATTTAGCTTTTCTTTTTTTTTTTTTTTTAATATATCTAACTTATCAGTTATAACCCTAATATACAAAAAATACAAAAGAAACAATAACAAAAAGTTTGTATTTTATACTATTAAATTCGAAATGGCATACATCATGATTAACGATGTCACTTCTCATATAGAAACTTGAAAGATCAAAATTAAGATTGTGAGACTTTGGTACGTTATTGATTAATATAATACAATGTGCTATGAGTAAGATCTTCATAGTGGTAATTTTATATTGATTAAAATATTAATTGAAGGACTTAGGAAAAGAATTGAGTATTTTAATTTTGAGACCACATTAGGAAGAGATTGGATCTTCGTAGTGGTGATTTTATACTCCCTCCGTTTCACTTTGTTAGTTCCATATATAGAATCAATCATAAAAAAATAAGAGAATGAATAATTTTTGGAATCTTACATTTTAGTACAAAAATTGCTTAATTAGTTCTATCTTATTAAATGTTCTAATTTTTTTATTTGGAAAGCATCCATTACAATGATTGCTTAAGGTGAGGAATATCAATCAAATGCCATGGCATCAATCACTAATGGGATTGATGACCAATCAAAATATTTAATTACTGCCATGTCATCAATCCACTAATGGGATTGATGACCAATCAAAATATTTAATTACTGCCATGTCATCAATCCACTAATGGGATTAGAAATTATAAGACCGGATTAGGAAAATAAAATAAAATAAAAAAGGAATAGATTCAATATGGGTAGATCATTTTGAAACGTCCAAAATAGTATATGGGACTATTATTATGAAACGGAGGGAGTATTAATTTTGGGACCACATTAGGAAAAGAATAGAGTATTTTAATAGGTTGATTAAACGACAAGTATACATACTTAAGTTCAATTGAGTAACCCTTGCACGATCGGTTCTTCACTTGACTAAGTTATCCCTGACTGACCAAGTATCCCCTGACCAAGTTATCCCTTAACGACCGAGTAATCCATGACCGACCAAGTAACCCGACCAATTGAGTAACCCCTAATTGACCGATTCTTCAACTAACCAAGTTATCCCTAAATGACCGAGTAACCCAAACCAAGTTATCCCCGAATGACCAAGTAACCCCAGACCAAGTTTCCTCTAACTGAACCAGTAACCCCCTGATCAAGTGAGTAACGAGTAACCCCTGATCATGTGAGTTACCCCTGATTTACCGAGTAACTCATGAACAAGTAACCCCGATCATTCTTTCCCAAAAAAATAAAAAAAAATAAAAAAATGTGGTTAGTCACAGGGTGTAGTAAGCCACACGTGAAAGTTTGCGAGATACAATTATTAAATAATAGATGATTTCATGCGATGACATTATCAATTTATACAAGAATACAACAGAAATTCCCGTGGCATAATTATCGTTATTATTTATATTTTGTATCATACTTCATTTGGACCCTTGGCTAGATGATATTATGCCACGGATTTTGAATTTATGTGGATTAATTCATGACACGGGGTGATAATATTTTGTAGTGACATTTAATTGTAGATTCGTGGCATTTAGTTTGAATAATAGTTAAATTTTTATCGTTGCTATATGAAATTACGCCACAAATTTGGAATTTCCGTGGTTTAATTTGTGGCACAACTGATTATTGATTTTTTTATCGTAGCTATACAAAATTACGCCACAAATTTGGAATTTATGTGGCTTAATTTGTGGCACAAGTGATTATTGATTATTATCGTTTAGCACTTTTCAATAGAATTTGCGCTGTGTTTATATTCTTGTTTTTTTGTTCAAGTTAAGTGACTATAAATTATGTTAATTACAAATTGCATTCATTTTATTTAAAAAATTATAACCTGAAAACATATTTTATTTTTTCTACCTAAGAGCTTATGTGTTTATAATAATTAAGTACTGTACAAAATTAAAAATGTGTACTCATTGATTTTTTTTTTTTTTTTTTTTTTTTGACAACAGTGTACTCATTGTCATGGAGATGTACTATTATGGATCTTTTCATTTCAGGGCCAAAATTATCCGTGATGGCTGGGTGGTGATGTCGGACAATGAGGAGGATGTAGATAATGGTAGAGATGACAACAACTTTGAAATTCCCATTAGTGAGCCACCTGTATTCGATACTCAATTTACAAATGAATACATCAGACTTGGGAGCTTAGACTGGTATGAATTTAAGGGTGTATGCAACCTTTCGAATACATCAAAAATACATCACTTGTTTTATACTCATATTTTTTAATCTCAAACATTATCTCTTACTAATATTATTTTATTGATATTTTATGACAGTATGTCCCCATTGAATTTGCAAGAGAGAACTTGAGTGGCTACCCAGAGTCATTAAAAGTTGATATCCTTGTTGGTAAATCTGGCAACGCCTATCGTGCAAGTATGAAGATCAATTATGATCGAAAAAAAATCATTAAGGAATGTGTAATTAAGGAAGGTATGAATAAGATGGTAATTGTAGAAGGATTTAGGTATGGTCACATCATCAAGTGGAGTTCTTTGGTGATGGTAAAGCACCAATATTCTACATACCCAACATAAATTGAAACTTTTGGTATATCTTGAACATCATAGGCAATGGAAATTTATTGTCTAGTACTAACTCCGGCATGGTTTGTTTCAGTTGTGTTTTTGTTGTTGGATTATTAGAAGATATTCTTAATTTCTCTTATTATTGTATTAAAGGAATTGATTTAGTTTTATTTTGAATTTAAACAAAATTTAATCCTAATCAAGCTTTTCAATCAATATAATTAAAAATATGGATATCACAAATCTATATTCCCATTAAAAATACAATGGCTCATAAAATTAAAGTAAAGATAACCAAATTAGCTAGCTCACTTAATATTTCAAGTATTTTCGTTTATAGAACTTCGTACATTGTATGACTTGTATCCTAAATCCTAATGGTTAACTACTAATGAACTTGTTATTTAAATGGGTCTCATTTATCAATATTGATTTTTTTTTTTTTCCAAATTATGTCAAACTAATAGCTTAAAATTCTAAATTTACAAGCTAAGCAATTCAATAGTTACAACTTAACCGTTGGAAATGCTCTTTATACTTAAGTCAAACAATAAGTACTTGTATTGATCAGATTGTTAATTCAATGGTTTTCATGTGATTATATACTTGATGTCCAAGTTTGGTTATCTTGTGATTATTTACTTTATGTCCAAGTGTAGTTTTGCATGTGATTATAGATTGTATGGACCTTCAATTTCACCAATCATGTGTCATTAGTTAATAGCACAACCTTTCTTGTACTTCACTATTTTAGTCAAAACTTTTCATGCAAGTAGCCTAGCTATATGGTACTTATGCATACTTGTTGACCAAATTTAGGTTTGCATGTGATTATACACTTGATTTCCAAGTTTAGGTTAGCTTGTTATTATTTACTTGATGTCCAAGTGTAGGTTTGCATGTGATTATAAATTGTATGGACCTTCAATTTCACCAATCATGTGTCATTAGTTAATAGCACAACCTTTCTTGTACTTCACTATTTTAGTCAAAACTTTCCATGCAAGTAGCCTAGCTATATGGTACTTATGCATACTTATTTCATAAAATTATTTTATAAAAGTGAATAACAAGAAAAAAAAACATGTGGGGGGGAAGGGGGAATCGAACTCTTCACCTCTGAGCTTGGTAGGGGGTTGAGATATGTGTAGTATGGGAACCATTTAGGACAGTCATCGACCGTGTTACAATGTTACAAATAAAACTATTTATATGCATTCCACTCGAAGTACATACGAGTATATTTTATGAATTTTTTGTTTTTTGAAACCACATAAGACTATATTTTTTATTTTTGTATACTTGAAAAAAATAAATTTAAAAAGAATTACATAAAAATGCAAAATTCTAAAACTAATTTCATAAAAGCGAAAAACAAAAAAAAAACTGGTGGGGGAGGGGGGGGGAATCGAACTCTTGACCTATGTGCTTCGTATGGGGTTGAGATATGTGTAGTATGGGGTCATTTTTGACCTTTTTATGGATCTAAATCGAACTCGAAATTGTCTATAAATTAACGAAAATATCTCGTTATCCAAATTATCCTCATTTATGGTTAATTTAGATTATGTTTGACTTTCTTTTGACTTAATTAGTACCATATAGCTAGGCTACTTGCATGAAAAGTTTTAACTAAAATAGTGAATTACAAGAAAGGTTGTGCTATTAACTAATGAAACATGATTGGTGAAATTGATGGTCCATACAATTTATAATCACATGCAAACCCACACTTGGACAACAAGTAAATAATCACAAGCTAAACTAAACTTGGACATCAAGTGTATAACCACATGCAAACCTAAACTTGGTAAACAAGTATGCATAAGTACCATAGCTAGACTACTTGCATGAAAAGTTTTGACTATAATAGTGAAGTACAAGAAAGGTTGTGCTATTAACTAATGACACATGATTGGTGAAATTGAAAGTCCATACAATTTATAATCACATGTAAACCTACACTTGGACATCAAGTAAATAATCACAAGCTAACCTAAAATTGGACATCAACTATATAATCACATTCAAACCTAAACTTGGTCAACAAGTATTCATAAGTACCATATAGCTAGGCTACTTGCATGAAAAGTTTTGACTAAAATAGTGAAGTACAAGACAGATTCTGCTATTAACTAATGACACATGATTGGTTTTATAAATATTTGATCCCATTTCTAAATTAGGAACAAGTAAACGAAAAAAAAAAACTAAGTATGATAATGTACAAGGAACTCTATAACAAGGTTTTATAAATAGAAAAAATTGTCAAAAATAATACAAACTTTGAGCAATCCACCAATAACAAGTCAAGCTTTTAATTATTTTTGAATAATACAAACTTTGAGGGG